GTTTAACGTTGAATATTATTTATGATTTTAACTTTATACACAAGTGCCAAAATACTATAATTAAAATAATTTAAGATATATTAATCTAGTTCTATAAGATAACCCTAGAATCATCCCAGTAGCCTTTCTCTGAACACTTCCCGGGAAATCAGTATCCATTCATAAATAAGCAGACCAAAGCTGCATATTGTGTTCCAAATTAGGCGTAACTAATGAATTGTATAATCTATAGAGAGATAATCACCTCTTTTGACTTGTAATCAATATGTATATATATAGTAAAGCCTATTCTGTCAGCTTTTGACTTTTCTCATCCAACTTCTCTGCAACCCGATTAAAAAGTGTCTCCTGATGTGATTTTCTTAGCTAATTTTTAGTGTGGCACCTTAACAAAATCTTTTAAAAACCTAAGTACACCAAGATCATAGTCTTTCTACTCTCCAAACAAGTAATATCCTCGAGAAAAAAAAAAGTTAAATTAGTAAGAAAAAATTTCCTTTCGGTGTTGATTCCATTAATCATCTATTTCATTGAACGATTTTATAAAATTTCTTTTATCTAAGCACGTGTTTAAAATCGGGAAAATTTTATGGGAATTTATCACCTTAACGTTGTATTTTACCCCTTTTTTGTCATAAACACACACACACACACATGACGAGAAACAGGATTTTTTTTACAAACCTGTCGAGGTAATATTTTCGAAATTGTCCAGCTTATAAAAAAACAAACAAACTTATTTTGAAATGTAATCTGGAAAGTATCACATGCTCCAAAGGTTCACTAGTTCGATTAATGTAATATAGCATGCGCCCCCCCCCCCAGTTTTGTACATGACATTATGTGCCGAATTAAACAGTGTGATCCAAATATTTTGTTGTCAATATTCTTATTTAGATGAACACAGATATTTATGAAGTATAGAATTTCGTCATCTAAAATGCTATTTCTTGACCCAAGTGCGGACGTATCACGAAATCTGGGCAATATTTATTTTACATTTTCTAAATCTACTACAAAATTACCATTACGAGTGTGGGCGATGTGTCCCCTCTACGGACTTACAACACTAAAATCCGGAGTTCCATTGCCCGGGTTGGACACAACAGATTACCCCATTGTAGCTTTTTTCTAATACAAACAAACAAACAGGTGGACGATGTTGCAGCGCCAGTGGAAAGATGAGAGAACAGAACAAAACAAAAACAAAACAACTTCACTACATCTTCAATTCAGACGTCATATCATGTTTATCTTCTTTTTTCATGAACATCTTATCTTCCCTATCATCGTCATTGTTGTATAGACAGTAAATTCTCCTACAGTTCTCCAGTATTGAAAATATGATTTTTTAATTCTTTATCTCTGAAATACTGGAGTTTCAAGTAACAATCTGAAAATATTTAACTAACAAACCGACAGCAACAAAGTATGTAGGAGAAACATTATCGTTGATTTTTTGCTAATTTAATGTTGTCTTCAATGTTGTTTCTTGGTTTTGGGGGCAAAACTACTCGAGGACTATCTGCTTTAACCGTCCCTAACTCTGAAGTGAAAAACAGAGGGAAGGCAACTTATCAACTCCCCTCCCCCCCACTACCACCACCGCCGCCGCCCGCCAACTCGTGAACTTCTATACTATTACTAGTCAGATTTGACCGTCATTGTTGTAATGGACCTACGACCCAAAGTGCAGAGTGCGATTCTTTTATTTTATTTTGCGGTAACTGGGTGCGAACTTCATCTCCACTGTCCAGCACGCTTGGTCCAACTTCTGTTTTATAACTGTTTCAGTGACAAAGCCTCAGTAATTCATCGTCGTCAGCTCGACGCTTACTATGAATTAGTTAAGCATCTCTACAGTTAATAAGTTAACTTATTTGAATATTTGTTGGTACGTATGTGTTAATTTTAGAAGCTCAAAATGTTGAAAATGTCACAGCTGTCATATTTCGAATGTACACATTCTTAAAGCATAATTAACGCTCGAATCAATGGGAAAAACACGAGGCCTCGCCTTTCACGATGACCTTCGAAACATCTGTGGAACAAGGTTCTTGCTGTACAATTACACAAATACCCTTACATAGACAGGGTGAAATTTTACTAAAATTGTGATAGTAAGTTAGAAAATATTTAGATTGTACATATCGTACAGAGCTCGTGTCATCACAAAATTAGTTATTTTATGGATTGTTATACGTAGGGATAGATATCCGTTTTTTATTGTTGTTTTTTAAAGTTTCCAACTTTGGCGCTTTATTAAATACAGCGTGAGATGCTTGACCAGGAAAGTAATATTTTTTTTTAAATTTGGTTTTAATTTTATTTTACTTCTATTACTATTAACCATTTCACTGTAATGAAGTTAATTTTGTTATAATATTACGGTTTTTATTACATAATTTCAGACACTAGAAAAAGTTGCTTTCCGTGGTAGAATTCCTTGTAACGTAATATTCGTATATCTTATAGAAGATTCAAAAGATCGCTTGCGCGGCATTTTTTTAGGCCTACTGCTGTCAATTAAGTAATTTATTTATCTCGATACACGTACATGTCGCGCACTCTTGCAGGCGTCCAGTATTCAAAAGTTACCTATTTGGGATAAATCTGGTGTTTCTCGGACAGTCACTACTTTGATTTATCACACATGATGGAGGAAGAAAGCAGAGTTAACCTTTTTTCTCGTTTTTGTAGTTATCACTGCTAAACAGCAACGTATAGCTACTACATATATTACTACTAGACACATCTTGTATGGGAATGCATAGGTTCTACGGCACGACACCGTGAGAAGGTTAATAAAAATTGACAGTGCTTTTAATTATTCAACACCTGTGGGTTATTTGCAAGTTTTAAAAAGATATTATTGGCTCTTAATGTGTGAAAAAGGAAATATTAAATATTGAATTTGTTATTATATTTGCGTTCGGCCGTAAGGTGAAGTCAAACGACATCGTCAGAAGAGTTAAAAGACGGACGATGAGAACACAAGACTTGGCGTTTTGCCAGACGATATTATGAAATACGGAATGTAACATTATTTCATTGCGACATCTATACAAACTCTTACTGAATACCAACGAGATTTAAGTGCTTGACAACGATCCTTTAGTGGGCTAGTATTTTTCAAAGATAGGAAAAAATAAAATAAACAGAACATAAACATGAATGAAATAAATTCCCGAAATGATACCGCAGTATTAGGAATAATTCGTTCTAGTTGTACTCCAGTTAACTGGGTATATCTGGCACGTGTTCTAAACAATTAGACTAAAATATGCACATACCAGATTGTATTATTAATGTATCTTCAATTGCTAATAACACATGGGACTAACATTCTCATACAATATAACCAAATTTTACACTCTGTCGCTCATTTCGAGGAAGACAATTTACTGTTACGAAGAGCTTGTTGTATATACAAACTTTACTCATCTCATTTCCTGGCATATCGTGACATCGATCTTCGTAATGGCGTCGGTCGACCTCAGATATTTTTGGGGGCGCTGACGAAGTAAACCAGATCATTGTAGAAAGACGTTTAAACGTTAATTAATGAAGCAGAGTAGATGTCAACACGCCGCTTGGTTGTAGATGTTATTCATTAGTATATGAGACAGTGTCTTGTAAATGGGGTCCCGTATGCATTGCGTGTTAAATATGTGCCATTATCAATATTATTATTCCCCGATAATGATAAAATGCATGCTGCATTTTTTTCGCATGCTTATAAAGTACAAATTCAACATGGCTACCCAAACCTAGAAATATATAAATATCAGTATGGAAGATATTATACTGGTCTAAATATATGTGTTTTTCGGGTCAATCTACTCAGAAATTGGCATGTGAAGTCCAGATCTACATAAAGTTGAATTGTGGTTTGTAGACTTTATTTTTAGTTATTGCTTCAAAAATATGTTTTACTTGCATTCGTATGAAAAACATATTTTACAGCATGATTTGCTAGATCCAGAAAAGATTGTCATCTTATGAGAGATTAATGAAATCTAGATTGCCATTATATATATATTATTATTATATCTGAAATTGGATTTAAAATGTCTGATATATGTAAGTAAAAATCATGAAGAGACCAATGACACAATGCGAAAAAGTACAAACACTTTGTGTCATAGCTTTAATCAGTTATCGAAACTGATTAACTAAAGAAAGTACATTGTCTCATTAACAGTGATTATATTGATATTGTTGTGGCTTGTATATAAAACCTATCATCAAAAGTCAATTAAGTTGAACGAAAAGTTGAAATGCACGAATTTTGTAGATACGTTTAATGCAGGATTGTACGTCATTCCATCTGATCAAATACAGTTGGAACACGCTTTATACAGGCTGCAGTAATACAGTTCTGGTATATGGATGATAATTTCAGCGTTAAACATGGGGTATTGCTACTAATCCTATAATAAATACAGTAGTGCACGTGTGTTATAATTAAGTACATCTGTGCACACTATCAATCTAACTGGGTCATATCTAACTTTGGCAAGTAACAAATTAGCATGTGAATGTAACACATTACGATAACATCAAGAAACAGTATCTATTCTTGTAAGTGCATGTATATATAACCAGACTATAACGAGAACTCCTCATAATCAGATTGGTAATCGTGATCATCGAGTCCATCCAGTTGACCAATAACGATATTTGAGCCAACATCATTTTCTGCGCCCCACCCACATGGTTCTATACATGTAAATTGATTAAACCGACAGGAACAGCATGATTTTTATTACTTTTCTTTCAAATGTACATAAAGTGAGTTGCAATTCCGTCAGGAACAGATGGTAATGGTGTTGGTTTAGGAACCAGCATAAAATCAATCTTTGTCCATCTGAAGTCTGTAGGAAGTAACAGCTGAGGACGTCTTTAGTGATCCTATGCCCATATAGTTGTTTGGAGACGTTTCTTCATTACTGCCTGATGCAAATCCTGTGCCCATATAGTTGCTTGGAGATGTTTCTTCATTACTGCCTGATGCAAATCCTGTGCCCCTATAGTTGTTTGGAGATGTTTCTTCATTAGTGCCTGATGCAAATCCTATGCCCATATAGTTGTTTGGAGATGTTTCTTCATTACTGCCTGATGCAAATCCTGTGCCCATATAGTTGTTTGGAGATGTTTCTTCATTACTGCCTGATGCAAATCCTATGCCCATATAGGCGCTTGGAGATGTTTCTTCATTACTGCCTGATGCAAATCCTGTGCCCATATAGTTGCTTGGAGATGTTTCTTCATTACTGCCTGATGCAAATCCTGTGCCCATATAGTTGCTTGGAGATGTTTCTTCATTACTGCCTGATACAAATCCTGTGCCCATATAGTTGCTTGGAGATGTTTCTTCATTAGTGCCTCATGCAAAGCACCTTTTTTTATAAGTAGGAGTTTCTTTTCAAGCTCTGACTCTGTAATGTCTAATTCGACATCGATTTCTCCCAGCGATGTGAAAGCCATAAATGACATCAACTGCTGATGCAAGAAATACATATCAGATCTTCTCCCAGCGATGTGAAAACCATAAATGACATCAACTGCTGATGTAAGGAATACATATCAGATCTTCTCACACGAATGCAGCAGCTGTCTTTTCCATCGAGCACTGTGTTGTTGGGAATTGAACTCTTCTATGCTTGTTTCCTGTTCCACTGATGAGTGAGATGTTTTACACAGCTGAGTAAATTGCCGTAAAGCCAAAACTAGGATATCTATTTCTGTTGCTCCCTTTCCTGTGGTTTCTTTTGCCGTAGCTCACCAGATGGCTCGCTTCTTACGTGTTCGAGAAGACTTTCTGCTTTGGGGTTACTAGGAATGTCTCGTTGCTTGTCTGTAAGTGATCTGGGCATTTCCGAACCACCTATGCTGTTAATTCGTCCTTCGTGGACATGCAACTGATGAATACATTGACGTTGAGCCATTGCCATGATGGGACACAGGCTTGAGGCTTCCACAGTGCTTTTGGCTCGTGGTTGCTATTCAGGGACTTTTGAACATCATACCTGCCAAATATTAGGTGTAATTTATAATAACCAGATTATCTAATGATTCTATAAAATTATTAGCCAGATCTAGACATATCTTAACACCTTGTGCTTTCCCAAGAGGATGTAGAAGAGCCATGGTGTCTGTGATTGCCATTTTCTTTGACTCCGTGGTACTCCCAGTTGTAGGGATGTCCTGATGCTGTGGACCTTCTCTTCTCATGGCAGACATTCGAGAATCCCCATAAGTTTGGTTTTTTTGTTGCTGTGATGAGTGAACGATCAAAAGAACAAGTCTCAAGACATTTCTGTAAACTTTTGGTAACCTTGAGAGTCTTTCAGATCGACTTCGGGTCGGGAACAAGCAACAACCAAAAGGCAGGCAATCACTTGTGGTTCTAATTTGTGTTTTATGTTTCAGTACTATTCTTGATGGTGTCCATGTTTGAAGCTTCAGTTTTGCCATTCGGTTCCAGATGTTGACAGTAGCAGTGCTGATTCGTTCAATGGTGAATTGGATATACATCTCTTGACCTATCTCATCCCATTTGCAGCCATTATGTTAACAGTGTCATCACCTTTAGCACATACGATTGACTGGTGAAGCGACAGTGCTGTGATATTGTGGTCATTTCTTTGAATACTAGTTGACAGTTCATGATACCTCTTTGAAATGACATAGACCTATAGGCCATCATCAGTACATCTTTAGTCAGTCTTGCCAGTTCACTGGCTGTGAGAGAGATGTGATCTTGTGCACTTGGATTCAGCTTGATATCAACTAGGCTGTTATCATCCATTCGTTTACGTGCCATGTCCCATGGTCAGTTCCAATAGCACAGAACGATAGGTCGTTCTTGTGGACAGGGAAGTTTCCTATTACAGATTCCTGCCATATGCGCTGATCCTTTATCTTCAGTTCTCTCATCTCGACGAGAACCAAAGAAAGAAGTCTTGCACACTTATGATTCTCTTGAGCGAAGAAATATTTACATAATGCATTCACGTGTCGCACATGTGAACATGAAGATTGTTTGTAGCTGAAGCATGTAGCATCTAACAAACTTGAATAGAGAGGATATAGGATATTTTCTCTCTCTTTTGGCGAAAATGTGATGACCTGCCATGGTCACTTGATCCCTGTCTGCACTCCAAAGTAATTTCAATGGTTGCAAGGACACATTTCTTTTGTATTCCAGAATGCTGCTCTACAAACTCCTCTCAGTAGATGCTTAGATCTGCTTTCTAGCCAATGTAATGACAAAGATGTCTGTAATCAACTAAAAACAGTATTTTCATTCGCTATTTTGGCGGCCATCTTGGATTACATAGAATTAATAGAAGAAAAGAAAAGAAACATGCATTTTCTTATCTAAAATGCCCAGGGGACCTGCATGGGTTTATATACTATTGTGTTCGGAGTAGCACGAACTACATGTATAGTAGTTTTTGAACATCCACTTGGTCCACTTTAGTTTAATTGAATTGCCTATTACATAGACACACACCGCTACTTTCAAAATAATACCAGTATTTCCTTTCTTCTACACTACACCGGGATTTTACTTGTTATGGCTCATTGCTCTTGTACAAAACTGAGCACTTAGCTTTTATGTTGCTTTTATCTTTTAATAAAAAACTGCCAAATATTGAATTTCGTAATTTTTTCTGTTATTTATTATATTTTTAAATACATAACTGTGAACCAAGTTTAAGAGAAAAGTATAAGTTAGGCTAAGAACAAGAGCTTTGAATACAACCCGTAAATTTAGGAAAAAAGTAGGAAGTTAGGCTAACAACAAGAGCTTTGAATACAACCCGTAAATTTAGGAAAAAGTAGGAAGTTAGGCTAACGAAAAAAACTTTGAACACAACCCGTAAATTTAGGGGAAAAGTAGGAAGTTAGGCTAACTTCAAGAGCTTTGAACACAACCCGTAAATTTAGGAGAACACCAGGAAGTTAGGCTATCAACAGGTTCGTAGGTACCTTGTACTGTATATCTGTTTTACAGTCCCACTTAAGGTTCGTACGTACCTTGTACTGTATATCTGTTTTACAATGGCATTTGATGTTTTTGTTTGAGATTTTGAGACATCGTGCAGTGTCTCTTAAGGTTTGGTCTTTCATCATAAATATTCTGACTTTATGGGACGTTTTGTAATACTTAATTTTTTTCCATAGGTAACTCACGTAAGGTGTATTTTTGTACAAGTATAGCTGTTATACAGAATCATATATGTGTACTTGTAACCGTTACCGTTTTTCAAAGTCACACGAAGTTTAAAAACCACAAAGTTGTGACGAAAAACCAATACTTCGGCTTTGTTAGACGAATCTCGAGTATTGACGGTAATGTAAAAATACCAACACACGTACGTTGCTAAGCAAAGCGTGTCTGTTGACATTGATGGAAGACCAATAAATAAAAGTAGCGCTAGAAACGCGTGTTTACTTGTCACAGTTGTGAATGGAATTGGCGTCACGGACATCCCGGGTTACATTAATTAGGCTATACCTTTATTGCTTCTACTGTGGCTCTGAAGCAGAGAACGTTGATAAACGTCTTGACATGATAAAACCGGATGGATATTTTTCTGTTGCTACTGTAAGCGGTTTGGTATATCGACTGATTGAGTAATGTATATCACTACTAACAGGATCGTGTATGTTTGCTAATCCGAGTATTTTGAGAAGCTTCACGAAAAATAATTTAAAGTTGGTTTGGAACTAGAGAACTTATTATTTAGGCTGTAATAGTATTGTTACGACAGCGGAAGTCACGTGACTCTGGTAACACGCCATGAGATTCTCGAAGGATCTTGACTTTTCCTGGCAACTCTAGTCTTTTCTAGGCACCCTCTTTTATTGTATGTAACTCCGGCAAATAAAGCGGAGATAGTATTGCAGATAGACAGATATAGAGACAAATAATTGAGTCAAGCGAGCAGTAGGCACCGTAAGTAAAGTGTGTAGAATCGATGTAGAATTGTAGCGTGTAGTTTA